CTCGCTCGTATTTGCCGCGCGCAGACAAGCATGACTCACAGGCGAACTTAAACACGCCCGATCAGCCAATGAAATTGTTGCTTCATCGTCTGGCTCTGAATGGTCACTTTTTAAAGCAAGCCTGTCATTTCGATCTGGCCATCAAGACGGCCTGATCATGTCAGCTTGCCTTTTCGTCATTGATGGTCCAATTTTATTTCGCTTTCTATACACTTATTTGGCCATTCTCGTTAATTTAATTTGTTATATTTCCCAAAGGCCTAACGCTATTCTGTTCTATTCGATTGGACTCTATTACCTTTTATGATATACTACTCTTTTATACTTTTTATTGGCTATATTTTTCAATTTGTCAACTTTCTGTTCTCTTCTAGCTTATTTTTATGCGTCAATCTGAATGTTGTAGAAAGATTCAACGACCGCTAAATAACTCAGTCATACGTTTTAGCCTCAAAGGGAACGGCAATTTTAACCTTGCTCCGCAACACTTTGTGCCTTCAATGTAGTCTTGGCCATCATAGGGACTAAATAATGAATTCGATTATACTACCTCGAAATAAGTAGCTATTTTTCTGGGATAAATAGGCATGAATCTGTAATGTCCTGAATGAGGGGGCCCGCCCATTGGTTTTTGCGAATGGAAAGTTGCACCGGGCACACAATGTACTGGAGATTAGATTGGCACGATCGAGGCCATCCCAATTTTCCTCGTGGATGGTAAAACTATCCAGCCCATTCAATATGGTCCAAATCGCAGTGGCGGTGGTGGTACTAGTCAAACACTAATGATACTTTCGTCTCCTATTTCACCCAGTGCTTTGTAATTGCCTCGCCATTTCGTTCCATCCTGGACTTCTAAAAGTCGTATCAAGGGACCTGAACAATGTTGGGAGATACCAACGGCTAAGAATTTTATGCCTATTCTCCTCATGATGTTGGCCGCTTTCATAAATTATGTCAGGTCTTTGATCTTACGCTTTTTTGTATAATCCCCATAACCTACAAGGCGTTTGGCTTTAAACCAGTCCCGCTGGGAGGTACTGACACGACTTAGGCAAGGCCGAAACTGCAGTCCATCCTGGATAAGAATAACTTTTGGAAAGCAAGTCTATATGAAATTCAGTGAGAACGTAAGGTCTACTCACATCATTGTTGGAAAATTCAACTTCCAGTCCCCTTATCACCTTGTGCGTAATAGAGTGAATACGAATATATATATATTGTTCTGATCTCCCATTTCCTTATAAATTTGCCCACCTCTGATGTCAACCTCAGAAATATATTGGAGTAGTTTTGCCTTCCCACTTACCTCGAATAGATGTTCCTTTACAGACAATTTGCTAGTATTCTTAGATATTTGTCCACAACGAAAATTGTTCTCAATCTTCTCATCTCTTTGTCCTTGTAGTTAACATTTGCAAGACAAGGGCAAATTATTATAATGAGTAATATTATAAGATTTATGATATCATTTTATATTTATATTAATTTAATATAAATAATTAATATTTATTATTATATTATAATGAAATTCGTTATTCTTAATTTGATCCCCAAAAAAATAAATTGATAGTAAATTCAGAAGCAAACTCGCCTTTGTGGGTTGACTAGACATAGCTCTATCAAACTAGGTTCCCACCTTACTTATTAGGACATAAATAAAAGGTTAACTACCTTCCCTTTCTAACAACATGGTGATTTAGACTATCCATCTATTCTGTGCAGTAGCTTTAGTAAATCATTTAAATCCGTCGCATTGATACTAATATACTAAAGAGTCTTGTTCGGGAGACATTCGTATCGTATGAAAGTGCATGAAGGAGACGACGGCTAATTTCATTTGTACTTCAGCCGTTTGGCTTCAATACGACATTAAGGCTGAAGCAGTTCACGAGACATTCTCCCTCGTTTAGGGTGAAAGCAAGCTGAGATTTCGTCAATAATATGAGGGAGATCATCAGAGCTGGAACTCATTATTTTAAAATTTCCACGTTAACACTAGGTCAAGAAGGCTATCCAAATATAGCTTACCTCATATATATATATATATATATATATAT